CATGGTTTCCTAATGCGCTTTGGTCTGAGCTGCGCTCACTGCAGGTCGCCACTAGGAATGTCACCTCCATCTGCTTCCTTGCCAGGCCCTGGGAGGAGGAGAGCTGGCTTGCACCCCATGAATGAGGGAAACGCCCGTAGCCCAGGGGAGGCGGCGGTGTCGGCCTGTCCCTATTTTCTCGTTTTTGCCAAGTCACTACCTTAACCAAGGAATGGCAGAGAATGTGGCCTTCTGGGGTGGGGATGCCGGGTGGGCTGGTTTCCTGCAGCAGCCTCAGGGCCCTTCCCCTCTAGCCCAGAGGAGGCAGGTGGGCAGCTAAGGCCACATCTCGACAAGGGGCCCTGTCAGCCTGAGTCCAAATCCCTGTGACCCTCCAGCGGGAGGCTGCATCCCTCAATTGCTGGCACCTGGACCTCTCCAGTATCGAGTGGCCAACTAGCAGGACAGACCAAGGCCTCTGTCCACCTGCTCAAGACACTGACAGAAGTATCCTCCATCCACGAGGCTGTGCACAGGCCACCCCTCAGGCCACCTCACCACCCCACCAAACAGAGACATTTGGTGACCATCAGAGGAGGGACCGCCTTGCTACCCAGCAGTCAAGGTGCATGAGACTGTCCAGGAGCCAGTCTTGGCGAACTACACTCTTGAGGGTCCACACTGCTGCCAACTGACTTTGGCTCCTCTTGGCCGGAAGCCAGAGCCACCCATATAGAGGCCATCCATCCACTTCACAGATGTGCAGGTCACACCACAAACTAGGTCTGGAAGGAAGAGCCACTGGAGGTCAGAGACCGCATGGACTCTCACCTCACCCTCCCATCCACCCACAACGTCTGTCTCTGCCCCAGGCCCCAGCTGGGCACATCACAGCCCAGGTGCCCCCTCTCTGCCCAAGTCCCCAAACCATTTAGCCCCATTTCTCTCCCGAGTGCAGCTACTCTCCAAGGACCCTGGTGCCTCTTCCTCCTCCAAAATCCCTCTCTTCACCCCTTCCAACACCTTGCCCTCTGGACCCCACAGCCCCACCATGGCCTGCGTGCCACTGTCTCTCCCTTTTGGAAGCCCAGATAATCACCACTCACCTGGCCTTGGCCTCTTCCCTGGGCGTGGTCCTGTAAGCCCTCTCTCTGGCCCCAGCACCTCACAGACAGGGAAGTTTTAAATCTGACTTGGTCTTGCAGATGCACCCATCAGACTACAGTGGCCTCTTTCTCCCCTTAACTGCCTGGCTGTCCCCGTCTCAAGCCAGCCTTTCCCTGGGACCTATTTGGTAGTTTGCAGATGGGGAAGCTGAGACTCAGCCAGACAGCCAGGTAGCGACAGCCGGGCAGAGCTCTGAGCCTGGGCTCTGAACGCCAGGGCTCTACGTGCACAGTGGACGTCCCAGATGAGGATGGCAGACCTCCGGGAACCAGGAGGGGCAAGGGACCTTGGCCAAGGCCCAGCAGGAAGGAGGGCCGGAGCAGAGCCTGTGGTCCCCACCTCCTTCGCACTGCTTCTGGGGGGAGTGTGGAGCTGAGCCAAGATGCAGCCTCTGCCCAGCCCGCCCCAGCTCAGGGTCTCCACTTGCTTTAGGAGGAGGCTTAACCGCTTGGGCAGTTGGGTCTGTTTTTTCTATATTTTCACAAATATTTCTCATCTTTTCTATTTGTTTTAAACCAAGATATTCAGGAACCATTGCTCAACCAGGCCCTGATCTTTCCGTGGTGGTTGCCCAGTTCAAGGGCAGGAACGATATGAGGACCTCACAGATTTCCACAGCTCAGTGACTGAGGGAGCAGCCCTGTGCCTGCTGCGGGGGGAGGAGGGCTCCCTCCAGGACAGGCGCCTCCCCTCAGTAGAGGGAGCCTCTGACCCAGAACTGGAGAAAGAGGTGTGAGTCTGACCTGCGTCTGATTAAGACAGTGAAAGTCCTGCCCAAGTCCAGCAGCAGGGCCATGATCCAGTCCACCACTGGCAGGTCACTTCCTGTGGGGAGGCATCCTCTTGCGGGAATAATGAGGGCTTCTGAGCTCTGTATTCCCTGCACTTCATCTTCCCACACCCTCGAGTCTCTGCAGTCAATTCAGATGAGGGACTGGGCTCAGAGAGCGGTCACTAGGCTGCTACACCTGGGCCTCAGGATGGAACCCACAGATGGTCCTTCGCCTCACCTTCTCTGTGGCTCACATGTTTATACACCCCTTTCTGAAAGTCTTGACATGTCTGCAGAATGACAGAGTGGCCATTTGTGTGCCGACTACCAGGTAAGGAAACAGAAGATGGCCATGGGCCCTCCTTCCCCTAGTCCTCGTGTGTCCCCAATTTAAAAGCGTACTTTCCCGTTTTTGAAACGTGCCCGTTCCCTCAGGATGCCTTCTCTTTGCTCTCAATGTCGTAAGATTCAGTCGGGACACTGTGTGGTTCATGATCAATGCTGCTTGGTATCCACTGAATGAACACGCGAGCATTTCTGATTCTTGAGTAAAACTGTTTGACATCTGTATCTCAGTACATGTGGAAATACATCTCTGTAGGGTATACACCTAGGAGGGGGCCTCGGGGTCAGGGTATGCATCTCCAAAGCTCACTGTCCTCACAGGTTTTCAAAATCTTGGTCCAGCAGCATGAAGAATCCCAATGCACCACACCCTCCCCAGCACTGATTAACAGCCTCTTTCATTGGGCTGACACGGTGGGCTTGCTAATGGGATCTACCCCACTGCAGTGTTTTGTTTCGCTGGGGACTGAACCCGGGCCCTTGTGCAAGCTAGACGAGCGCTGTACCCTGGGGCCCTTGCTGCAGTTTTAATTTACATTCTCTGGTTGATGATACGGTTGCCTGCTTTTCCATGTTTTTAGCCTTTTTGATTTCCTCTTTGGTGAAGTACCTGTTGGGGTGTACACTCAGTCTTCTACTGGGTTCTTTTAAGAAAAAGATTATTCATAGGAGTTTTTTAAATGTCCTGAACATTAACATATCCCCTGGTAGATTTCTGTGTTACAAACATCCTTATTCTGTGGTCAGTTTTCTTCCTCTTAGGTATCTTGAAGATAAGCCTTCTTAACATAGTCCTATTTGCCAATCTTTCTCAAGAAACCTTCCCTACACTTTTTTTACTTTCAAATAATAGGACCCTGTTCCCTCAGTTTCCCACGATGGCCACACCTGACTATAACACAAAATCAGAATCAGGACATTGACACTGGTACAACTACAGGCCTCAGCACGTGTGTGTGTGTGTGTGTGTGTGTGTGTCTCCACCCACAACCCAGGACCTTACCCATACTAGGCAAGTGCTCTACCACTGAGCTACCTCCCTGGCCCCACTTTATTTTTAAAATATCACTTTCCTTGAGTTCAAAAGCTATAGATGTTCTCTAGAAAAATATAGAAAAACATCCCAGATGAAAATTACCATCTATACTGTTAGAAATAAACACTTGGTGGGCTGGGGTTGTGGCTCTGTGTTAGAGCACTTGCCTAGCATGTGTGAGGCACTGGGTTCAATTCTCAGCATACAAATAAAGGTTGATCCACAATACACACACACACACACACACACACACACACACACACAGAGGGGAAATAACCACATGGTAGCACTATTTCCTTAAGATAGAATTATGAAAATAACTACTTTTGAACACCTTTTAACCTAGCCGAGCAGGAATGTCTCCAGAACTTGGTTTGGAAGCTCTCCATCCGAATTCAAGGTGTGCATAACATCCCAAACCCAGAAGCCTCCTGTCTTGGACATCTGGGTCAGCAGGGTCTGCAACCTGAACCAACGTAGTGAGCAAGGTCTTTGCCCCAGTGTTCTCCCTGTTCCTCGGGCCTGGTCCCAGGCAGCCTTCTAGAGAGGCAGGCACTACAGGCTGTGTAGCCAGGGTAGGCCCGGTACTGGCCCTAGGCATCATGGGAGGGCGCTCTAGAAGGCGAATGACTTTCATTTCAGATACCTTTGTAAAAGATCTCTGGTTGCAGAATGAAGAAGATATAGGGTAAACAGAAGTCACCACAAAAGGTGGTGACAAGAGGGGTGAAGATGGACTCATACTCCAGGTCAGTAGCAGAACTCGGCTGTAGGTCCATGGTTTGTGCAGCTGGCAGGACAGTGTCACCAGTCACTTCTCTGAGACTATACTTGGGAGAAGGGCCCTGGCTGGGGCTTTAGGGATGGGAGTCTGGCTCATTTGGTGAGTTCTGGGAGTGGAGGCTCCGGGACACAGCAGGCAGCACACAGTGTGGTGGTGATGCAGGAGTTACTGACTCGGAGGGGACCTGGAAGGGGGGCCCACCTCGCTTCACCTGGAAGGGGCTGGGAGGCGGAGAGGCCTGGGGCTAAAGGCTGGCACTCTTTGGGTTACAAATGGCAGAAGCTCAAACTGCAAAAGGACCCCACTGGTGTCAGTAACCAGAAGGATCAAGAAACATCTGGATGAACTGGAAACCTGAGTTGGTGGGGCAGCCACTCAGGTGCAGTGTCTGTCCCAGGAGCCACAGGTCAGTGGCACAGTCCACCATACCACACCGCTCAGGCAATCTCTCACCAACCTCACTCCACTATGAATGTTTCTGTACAGAAATGGAGGCCCAGTGTTTAGGGAAAAATAAACAAAAAGGAGCTGTGGTCTTTCTGCTTGGCTAAGCAAAGTACGATGAGGAAAGGGTACCGAAGCAGCTAGAAGGCAGTCCGCGTCCTGAACCAAGGCTCTTCGTCACTTGCAGAACAGCGATGATGCTGAAAAAGGTCCACTCCCAGCTTCAAGATCACCTGGCACTAGAAGTTATGTGCAGAGGTTTAGAAAAAGGGTTTTTTTTTTTTTTTTTTTGGGGGGGGGGTAGTACTGGGGATTGAACCCAGGGGTGCTTAACCACTGAGCCACATCCTCAACCTGTTTTTGTATTTTATTTATAGACGGAGTCTCCCTGAGTTGTTGAGGCTGGCTTTGAACTCAGGATCCTCCTGCCTCAGCTTCCCGAGCTATTGGGATTACAAACATATGCCACTGCACCCGGCTTAGAAAAGTTTTTAATAGGAAAAAATCAAAGTCAAACAAATGAGAATAAAGAAAGTGTATTTACACAATCAACTACATATAGGAGTGAAAATATAGAAACCGCAACTACATGTTTAAAAAAAAATCACATGCATCCATCCTCTGAAGTAGGTACAGTGTTTTGGGTTGATCACAACATTAGGTCACAAAGTGAATGCCTCTCTAGAAGGAAGACACTGCAGTGTCAACTCCACGTGGCTTCATGCTGAGTCGGTCAAGACCACTGGGAAGCATAACGCCATGGTTTCACAGGTGTCACACGGTTTTAAGGTGATGCCCTGGGATGGAGCGTAGCGCTGTGGTAGGCATGTGCTCAGCATGTGCGAGGCCCTAGGTTCAACTCCCAGCACTTGCTTAAAAAAAAAAAAAAAAAAAAAAAAAAAAAAAAAAAAAGCCCCTACCCTATATTTTTCTCCTTTTTTTTTTTTTTTTTTTTTTTGGTGGTGCTGGGGATTGAACCCAGGGCCTTGTGCAATGTGAGGCAAGTGCTCTACCAACTAAGCTATACCCCCACTCCCAAAATGCCGTATAAATAAATAAACAGATAGATAAAGAATAAAGACTTTTAGGTTATTCTTCAGATTCTGCTAAAGGTCGATTTCACTGACAACTACCTAAAAAATCCAGGTGATAAAAATTCATTGTATCCACTGAGAATCTGCTGGTGCCGGGTGTACTTATTGCACAAATGGCCTTCTCAACCCCAGGAGTTGCAACTGGCTCTGTGCCGGCCAGTCGTGTCTGCTCATCTGTGTCCCATTCCAGTGTCAGTGTTCTTGTTCAGCTTTGTCCCTTGCCCAGACCCAGCACTCAACCATCCCTAGAGAGATGTGTGCTGAATGAAGAGCAGAGAGGAAGACCGCCATTTCTAGAGTGCTGCAAGAATCGCTTCGTGTCACTAGTGGCTTCAGCACCGTCCTGTATAGAAGGAATCGACCTTTAGCAGAATCTGAAGAATAACCTAGAAGTCTTTATTTCTTTCTCTATTTATTTATTTATTTATCTTGCAGTGCTGGGGACCAAAGCCGAGGCCTCGAGAATGCTAGGTAAGTGCTCGACCACTGAGCTACATTCTCAGCCCTAGAAATCATTAATTTTAATTAGGAACAAAAGGGACTTTAAAACATTAAAACCAATATACAGTCACGCACCACATAACTGAGGTGTGGGTCAGCGGCAACTGCACACCCGAGGCAAGGCAGCAGAGCCTCGGCGGGTGGCCAACTAGTTTGGATGAGTACTGTTGGCCAGCGATGAGACTGCGTGACACTTTCCTCACAGGCGTCCCTGTCACCGGGTGGTATCTGCTTATGCACAGCTATAGTCACAACCCTAACCCATATGCAGTAAGAGGTGCAGGAGATGACAAGGACAGGAAGACGGTGGAACGTCCAGATTTACAAAATAGGTATTTTAGTCCAGTTTAGTGAAGAAATATTTAAAATGTATTAGGAAGAGCCAATGTGACAGAATTGTAATGCTAATGAGGAAGATGACCGCCAGGCTTCAAAAATAATAAAAGATTTGTTCAGTAAAAATCCGAAGACCTATTTACCAGGAATTCAGTCCAGATCAGGTCTCTATGGGAACTCGGCATATGATTGCTAATAACTTTCTGCAGTTCCCAAGGAAACTTAAAGGGAGAACACAGTCCTGTGACAAGAAAAATGAATATGACCAATAAATGATCAGTCACAGAAAACATCCAGACCTGTGGGAGAGGTGGGTTAAATCTGTAAAGAGCCACCACGAGCAATGCACTGTGCAGTGATAAATAACAGCAACAGGGACAAAGCCTGGAGTGGCGCTGTCAAGCAGGGCTTTATGTCACAATTAATGAACATCTGGGGGATAAAAATGAGCAAGCACGACACGAGCGGGGCTCGGGGGCCACTCCTGGAGAACCCAAGACACAGGACGAACATCGGGTTCAGGATGCAGTCTGCAGCTCAATTTGTTTTCACAACATGATGGAAGGGAGAGGAAATGTGACCCTGAGACTCAGAAATATTTTACTAAACTCTGGTTTTTAATAACCATAGGAAAATAGCCAATAATTAGTTGTTATTTCCTGAGCCATGGAACCTTGAATACAATGTCATGAAAATGACTTCTCAGAGGAAGAGTATGGAAAAAATACCAGTCATAAAAATATGATCATTACTACAAGGAACTTTAGCTATTGTAGAGAGAAATCTGGGACTATGTCACACTGACACAACAGTGGGAGAAGAGGGGGGCGGGTCCGTGGTCTGAGTCCATCTGGTTTCTTCAGGTTCAGCCCCTTTCTCTGGGCACAAAAGTCCCAGGTGGCTGCGTGAAACGGAGACCTTCCCCAGACACTAGAAGGTCAGGGCCCTGCCTTTAAAAGACCAGTCAGCCAGGGGACCGTTTGGGGTTCTTTTGCAGGGTCAGCAACACACACTGTGATCACTGCCCTGCATACACACTCTGCAGAAATTCTCACAAAACACTTCCTGAAGGAGGAAGACTCATTTCTCACCACCTTTCCAGAAGCATTCAGAGACCGTCAGACTGTTGGAAGGTCCTAATTATTCCTAGTTCTTTGCTTCCCAAATATAAAAGATGTGCTCCTTTCAGGCTACTAAATTCATAAACCTTGAAATAAACTACACCAAGACCTGTAAGTTTGTTTTCAATACAACAGTTAAATTTAAATGACAATTTTAAAGTATGGGGTTGGGGATTTGGCCCGTGGCAGAGTGCTTGCCTAGCATGTGCAACGCCCTGGCTAGTCTTCTCTGGAGTTGACACGGGGGAGACGAGAAACCACATATCCTGTTATGAAATACGACTTGTACCTCTTAGTATTGATCCAGAACCTTAAGTTATTTATGAATACTTTACAAGAGTACCGTGAACGAGAGCTGTGAGAGGCTCTTGGATGAGAAAGGCGGGAGAGGGCGTCACACCAGGGTTCTGCACATCCACGCCGGGGGACACCAGGTCCTTCAAGTTGCCCTTGACCACACACCTGAGCATGCAGAGCTCAGCTCCCGGTGTTGCCTTGAACCCTGAGCAGAGCCAAACACTGTAGAACTGTCTGGCAGCTGCGGGTCAAAGAACTCAGCACCATCTTCTCTGTGCCTACAGTACCAGCAAAGTTAGTCCCAAGCAATTCTGGGATGTCCGTAGGCCTGAGGGAAGAAAGCAGGCAGGAGACCATCAGATCAGCAGTCTCTGGAAGATGGGAAGTAGCCTCATTTTAATTAGAGCTGGTTTTTACTTACAGCTGAAAGAGCTCTGACCTGAGCCCTTAAAGAAGGCCCTCTAGAAGCTGCCATTCCTGTGCTCTGTGACACCCTGGTCCTCCTCCCCATCCCTGCCCATCCCTGCCTCCAGGCCCTTTGCAGATGAGGGCCTGCGCCAACTCTGTCGCGCTCAGTTCTGTTTGACCATGAAGCAGACAGTCCTCTTTCTTTGCAGCAGGTGTCCACAGGGTGCCCCTTAGAGTACCAAAGGCCTGGGTGGCCCCAGGAAAGGCAGGCAGTGCCCTCCCTTAGTCAGCTCCCTCAAAGCAGGTGCTTCTCAGGGTGCTGTCCATAGGGGTCACTCAAGTGCGGCAAGAGACAGGAGGGAGGGGAAGAGAGGATCAGCCAGAGGGAAGAGGCCAGCAGGGGGTCTCCTGGTCACCTGGCTACTGAGCAAGTGCAACCTGGCCCCACTGTCTCCTCTCACCAGCTGTGGCCACAGCTCTTTAGACTGTGTTTTGTCCCCAAACAGGGTGGACAGGCACACAACTCCCAGTCCAGACCCTGTCTTTGGGATATAGCAGCAGGAGCCATAGAAAAATCACCCAGAGGACTGCTGGGCCCAACCAAGGACTGAAAGAGACCATCAGACGCTAACCAGTCAGGAGAGAGATCAGTGAGGAGGACCGGGGAAGACCCGGGGACAGGGAGGACAGGGCAAGCACAGGGCTCAGTGGCCCACGCCTGGCAGGCTCCTACCTTGGGCCGGTAGCCCTGCTTGGCCATGATCTTCGCCTCCTGCTGCAACAGAGCATCAGAGAGCTGCTCTGCCTGCCTGGTCTCCGCCTCTTCCTCCTCTGCCTGCTGGTCCTCTTCCCATGCCCGCAGCTGGCGCTCTGCCACCTGGGCACCAAGAACAAAATCACCAGAGAAAAGGCCCATGGGTGAGAGCCCTGGGAGAGAAAGCCTGTGGTCCTACCCCGGCTGCGGGTCAGAGCTAAGAAACAATGATGGCAAATGCCAGTAAAAGGGAATGGGACTCAGGGGATGGAAAAAGCCAACTGTGTGGTGCTATGGACCTGGTAAAAAGTTCTGGACAGGCTATGTGTGTAGGAGAATGTTCTGGGTTATACATCAGGTACCAAAGAGAGACCTGTAGTCTAGTAAGCCAGCTGCTTCCAGATGAAGACAGCACAAAGAAACAGGGAGGTCACCTGGTGCCCACCAGAGATGAGGGACCTGCAGGAGTGAACCCCAGCCCACCAGGCTTCTGCTGGAACTCAACAGCCAGAGTGGGCGGGCAACAGACCAAGTCAAGGGTCTCTAGATTCTGTCCCATGGATGCAGAACCCAGGCAGGGCCTGCTGCCTCAGGCTCCTGGCAGAGATGCTACTGCCCTCAACGTCAGCCCCACCTGGGCCTCCAACTCCTGCTTCCTAGCTGACTTCAGTTCTTCACTCTCCTCTCTCTCTCGGCGGGCCGACTCTCTTGCCTCCTCGAGATTCTGAATGAGTTGCTCCCTGTGTCTGAGGGATTCCTCTTGGGCCCGTCGGTTCTGTTCAATCTTTTCTTGTATCTGTTGTTGCCTCCCCATCAGAACCTATCCTCAGGAGAGGAAGAGGAGGATTTGAATCTCATGACACCTGTCGTCCTACGAGCCTCAGACAGGCTGCAGCTGCCTCAAGGCCCAGCCTAATCCTCAGACCCCACCTTAACCCAGATGGAGGACTCAGGCCCAGCCATGGGTCCAGCCAGACCAGTGCTGGCCATGTTTGCCAGGTACAAGGGCATTTCCCACCCTCTCCTCACACCCAGATGCAGGCTCGGTGCCAGAGACATCCCAAAGAGTTTGGCTGGAGCCCGTTCCCCAGACCAGGGAAAACGAATAGAAACAGGCCCACACAACAGACGGGCTCTGAAATAAAGAAAGAAGCCACACAGGTGACCAGGGACAACCTGGTCAGCCTAAGCTTGGATTCAAATCGACTTCTCCACGCAGCAGAAACCAGAGGAGTGCTGCGTAGGAGACTGGGCCCCAGAGCAACGTCAAGTCCCGCCACAGGCCCAGGCCACAGCCGAGACTCAGTGGCCAGGAAGCCACCACACACACACACACACACACACACCAGCTCTACTCTCTGCAAGGACACATGAAGTGGCCACAACCAAGAGGGGAATTTAAATGGAGAAAATCAGAGCCACTGGGGAATATTTAGTACTCACAAATGAAAAATCATCAACTGCGACCCAATTTACCAGGGATTAAAAATGTGGCATACTGGCAGGCACAAGGTGCGACCTTGCATTATTCTGAACCACTTTCAAGTGTTTTCCTCTGTGGTTAGCTTTACTCCCAGGACTATTTGCTGGGTCAATGGGAAGGAACTACTAGGCAATTAATGGAAAGCAAGAGAGACCTCTATATTTTTTATCTAGGTATTGGCATGTCCCACATCTGTACTGCTCCTGAGGGTGATGACAGCGATGAGGATGATGTGAATACTGATGTCTAGAGGGGTCAGCAATTGAGAACCAGGTAGATCCCTTCACCCCAAAAGAGATCCTAAAGTCAATGACTTGAAGAAATCAGATCCCAAATATCCTGGAGGGAGAAGTGGGAGAGCCTCTCAGTATGTCCATAATTGAAGTTCAAACAGAAGCCATCCGCCAAAAAAGGATGGCGGGCTGATGGGACGACTGGATTAAGCATCAGTTATTTTAAAAGGGCATCCTGGGGCTGGGGCTGGGGCTAAGGGGTAGAGCACTTGCCTAGCATGTTCGAGGCACTGGGTTCAATTCTCAGCACTGCATATAAATAAAGAAATTAAATAAAGGTCCATGACATGAATAATTAAAAAAAAAGGGCATCCTTGAGATGGACAGCAAAGGAACCACAATGGGAAATTCCTAAAAGAAAAATTCATTGACTTAAAAAAAGAAAAATACCTTTGATGCAGGAAGAGTACCCATGATGGGTGTACCTTCCACACATGCTCTCTGGTGGGCTTCTGGTGACCCACCCAGGGAAAACACCCACAGCAGGGAGAGCCTCCCACAGGTGCTCCACGCAGCATTCCTTATCATGACTCAAAGTTAGAAAACAACAGAATGTCCACAGAGGGAAAAGGAAAGCCAACCAGGGTGCACCTCGTGACGACGCCATCAACATGACACTTACCAGATGAACTAGTAGGTGGAAACTGGAAATCAAGTAGCACAGTATTTACAAAAAAATAAATACAAAACAAAAAAACGACCTATGCAGGCAAGACGCCCTGCACAGAAACAGGAGAGTGGAAGGAGCCAAGCGGCCGTGGCTGGGGGGCGGGGGCAGGGACGCTCTGCCCCAACTTTCCAATTGTGTTTTTCTGTACTGAATTTCTAAAAAGCCTGTATGACTTTTACAATGCTTTTTAAAGCCCACTTAAAATAACCAGAGACTATTCCCAGAACGCGTGGCAGGATCATTATACAACGGCCGACTCCAGACACTGCCAGGACCAGTAGCCGGGCGAGCCCCCCGCAGCTGGGATTACCTCGGTCATCAGCCTGTCCCGCGCGCTCTGCTCCCGGGCCCACTCTGCTTCTCTCTTCTCCCACATCTCTTTGGCCTCCTCCCTGGGCAAACACAAGCGGATGACAGAGGCTTCACACCACGTACAGAGAGCACTAGTGCTGACCTGCACTGCAGCCATCTAACATGAACAAGACCATCAGGACATAGAGACGGGAGAGCACCACTGTACCCAAGCAAGCCCTGTCACCCTACATCTGGGGTCACAGCTGGCTCACCCTGTTGCAGGGAAATGACTCCCACCCACATCCACGAGTTCCTCTGGGTGAAATGGGCTGGCTGAGAAATTAAAGCTAAGAGAAATAAACAGTGAAAAAACCACAGAACACAGAAAGTAGTTTCAAAAGAGGGGACAGGGCGGGCAAGCTGACCATGATCGAGCTTCTGGACAAAGATGGAGTCCAAGCCTGCTTTATTTACATCAGGAAACATCAAAGGCCTTCCATAGAATGTTCTTCACCAAATCAGGATGAAGGTGAGCTGTCCAGTTCCTCACGGGATATGCCCATCTCAGTTCTACATGAGGAACTTTCTAGCAGAGCGAAGGAAAAGGTCAAGTGCACTGGGCCATCTATTACTGGGGTAGAACCACGGAACGTTCCTTCCCTGGCTTCCATGCCCTGAGAAGGTCGTCATGTATTTCACAGATGGCTTCCCACAAATGACCTCCTCTAGTATCCATGTCCCGCACACCTGCAACTCAGCTGGACGTTAGGATGCAGGAACAGGAGGGCTGCAAAGCACTCAGCACAGTGTCTGGCACCCAGGAAGTGCTCAGTGCATGCTGCATATTATTAAATTATTTCAATTTACTTGCTTAATTTTTAGGCTTCAAAGCCAGGTGTGGCAGTACACACCTATAGCCTGAGCTACTTGGGAGGCTGAGATAAGAGGATTGCTTGAGCCCTGTAGTTTGAAGCAACACAGCACGGCCTCATCTCAAAAAGAGGTGCGTGTGCACATACATGTGTGTATGTATGTGTATATGACACAGGTATAATGTCTGACGTATATCACATACGATGCATTATTTATACATACACACATACAAGACTCAGGCCCATTTTAATAGACCCAAGAAGCATTCAACATTTCCATGATCTATAACAATTCCCTTTCAGATTTCTAAGATTTAAAATGAACACATCATTACTTTAAATCCTAATAATTTCCACTTTGAATACCTCAGGGTATTGAATACCACAAGGGAATGGCCAAATTAACAGGGACTAATGCTTCAAAGAAGAAAGTGGAGGCAGGCACAATGGCATGCACACACCTGTGATCCCAGCAGTTCAGGAGGCAGAGGCAGGAGGACTGCAAGTTGGAGGCCAGCCTGGGCAACTTAACACACCCCCCTCAAAATAAAAAGTAAAGGGGCTGGGGCTCAGCGGTAGCGCACTTGCCTGGCATCTGTGAAGCACTGGGTTCGATTCTCAGCACACACATAAATAAATAAAATGAAGTTCTATCAACAACCCAAATAAGTAAATAGAAAGTAAGAAAGGGTGGGAGTGTAGCTCCCAGCACCCTAGGTTCAATACACACTCACACACACACACACACACACACACACACCCAAAGGTGGCCCTTTGGTGACCTAACAGACATTTCAAGGTCCTAGAGCAGGGAGCAGGAACATGAAGCCAGGCAGCTGCCACCTCTCACCTCAACAGCATCTGCAGCTCTGCCTCCCGCGTCCTCTCGAGCTGCAGCTGCTGCTCGATGACCTGCTTCATCCAGGCCACGTCAGCCAGGGCCTGCTCCCGCCTGGCCAGGTGCATGCGCTGGGCCTCGTCCTCCTTCTCCAGGAGGGCCTGCAGGATGCGCCTGTCTGCCTCCTAGAGGAAGCAGGTGCAGCAGTGGGCGCCTGGCCAGAGCCCAGGTGCAGCACATGAGCGCCACTCCCACAGGGACGCGTCCCCTCCCCCATCCCTTCCGCACAAGCTACAAAGGGAGACTCCACATTCCCAAGACGAAGAAGGGACGATGCTGGACTGTTTCCAGAAGACATCACAGGTAACCAGGAGGGGCGGTTCAGACAGTGCGGGTGCCCTGGTCCAGCCATGCAATAGGCCATCCCCTGCTCAGGGGCACCAGGTCATTCTCGGGTCTTCTCTCTCACACTGAAGCTGCAGGGAGCAGTGTGTGCGTTTCTTTGCGCATCTGTCACTGCAGTTCATGTTCGCAGAAGTGGAATTGCTGCCTAAAAGCAGAGTCCCCTCTCCACCACCTTGTGCCACCACAAGCCCTTGGACATAGGAAGAGCACAGCTTTTTAGAACATAATTTGACAGCAATTCCACTTTTAAGAATATCGAGTACAGTGACACGATCGCCAAGGCTGTGCACGCACCGCTCCTGCAGCTCCAACGAAGGAGGGAGGAGCTGGAGGCGGCCCATGCCCCGCACAGGGGCAGCATGCACAGGGGTGACTCTGCGTCCCAACAAGCTGCCCTGATAGAGAAGGCCGGGAGGGTGTGGAATGCAGGGCTGACTCCCTTGCTCATGGGGGGCTCGGTAAAGAACCTAAAAGGAACCACTGAGCAGCTACAATAAAAAAGCCACGCTCAATCTAAATATACGGCTCTTTTTAAAGTTATGTATGTACTACTGAGTATGCTAAAAGAATGCAACCTCAATCGTATTCAAAAACAGCCAAAGGAAAAAAGCACCTAACTCTTTATAGGTATGTGTATCTAGACAAACAGGCACCAAATGGACATCCCAGGGGAGGGGCAGCACGGAGGAATCTTTGTGCTGTTTAGGTTTTCTTTTGTTGTTGTTGTTTTAAACAATAGTTTCACTGAAATATAATTTTTGTGGGGGTTTTTTGGTATTGAGAATTGACCAGGCACGCTTTACCACTAAGCCACATCCTCAGCACTTTTTAACTTTCCATTTTGAGACAGGGTCTCATTAAGTTGTTGTGGCCGGCCTCACACTTGTGATTCTCCTACCTCAGCCTGCTGAGCAGCTGGGATTACAGGTATGTGCCACCAAGCCCAGTCCTTGAAATATAATTTGATATTTTGATACATAGGTACATGGCAAATAATTACTACAACCGAGCTATTAACATACATAACCTCACAGTTACCTTTTCCTGTGGTGAGAACACTATTTTTTTTTTTTTAAAGAGAGAGTGAGAGACAGAGACAGAGAGAGAGAGAGAGAGAGAGAGAGAGAGAGAATTTTTTAACATTTATTTTTTAGTTTTTTGGTGGGCACAACATCTTTGTTTGTATGTGGTGCTGAGGATCGAACCCGGGTCGCACGCATGCCAGGCGAGTGTGCTACCGCTTGAGCCACATCCCCAGCCCAGAACACTACTTTCTTGACAAATATTTTTTTTCTAGGTGGTGCTGAGAACTGAACATTGGATCTCATGCACGTCAAACCTATGCCCTAACCCTGCGCTGCATCCTCAGATTTCAAATCACAGCAACAGTATTCTGAGCTATAATCCCCAAACTGTTCATTTGATTCATTCTGTCACTAGAGCCAGGCATGCTGGCATATGCCCCTAATGCTCCTAATCTCCTAATCCTAAGGAGGCTGAGGCAGGAGGATCACATTTGAAACCAGACTGGGAAAGACCCTGTCTCTCAAAAATACAATAAGGACTGGGGTTGTCACTCAGTGGCAGAGCACCGCTGGGTTCACTCCCCAGTACTGCAGGAAAAAAAAAAAAAAACCTAAACAAAATGGGAAGTACGTATCCTTTGACCAACATCTCCCCATTCCCCACCCCTCATTTTTTTTTTTTTTTAATTCTTAAGAGAATGCAAGTGTCTACTGAGCAGTGGAAGATATTTTTCAAAAAAGGGTGGAAAAATGCCAAGACATCCACTCAGACTCACCAGTTCCTGTTTGATCTGCTGGGTGCGTCGGTTGAGCTGTGCGTTGTACTGATGTCTCAAAAAACGCCTATAAATGACAAACAGTGGGCTGCTTCAGTACTTTGCAAACAACAGAATGGAGAAAGACAACTGCTCACTCAGGCGACATCCTCTAGTGGATGGAGAGGATGGGTTCCAGGGACTCCAGTGTGAGTCTGTGGATGTAAGAGGCTGCCTGCCTGGACCACGGCAGGGTTCCCCACACGCACCCCAACTCTGCCTTCCGCCGGAAGGCTGCCATCTGCCTCCTCTCTTCCTCCAGCCTCTCCAGTTCCCACCGTTGCTTCAGAAGATTCTCCTGCTCCTTCTTCAGTTTGGTTGCCTGTAGTTTTAAGGGTAAAGCCAATGAGATCATGGCAACCAAATCTTCCGCGATTTCTCCTCTCCATTTTTGGCAGGAACTACACAACATGGCCTGCCCCCATGGCTCACAATCCCCTCCACCTCTGGGGTTCAGCCCCTTTCTCAGCTTAACTTGTCCACTGGTTCCATCTCAACTGAGTCACTTCCTGCAAGGGTCTTTTCTGGCCCCTTGAACTTTCTGTGCTGTCCACACTTACTGTACCTTAACAGCTGCTTCCCCACCTGACCAGCAACCACGTGAGGCCAGGGGTGAGGACCTTGCTCAGGCTCTACTCTCACATCCAGAATTCGTGGTGGGCACAAAGTATCCAGTCATTAAAACATTTAGGCAAGGCAAAGGAAGAGGACAGGAGGTCAAAGGATATGGGGCCTCCCTGCATGTAAAGGGGAAGATCCAGCCCCCTCCGAGTACTCAGCACAGTATCCTCAAAAAAGACAGGCTCCGAGACTCCCGAGACCCAAGACCAGCTACCAGCGGAAAGCCATGTGCTGCCTCATCCAACTGAGTCATGTCTGCTTAGCACACGGGAAACCCACATTCTAAGACTCCCAGAGATGGCTACTGCATCTAGGAGAAAAGGTGTTATCGCTGGTTGGCCAATGTTCTAGAATCTAGGCACACGACCTCAGAGCACGGAGGACCTGGATGGGAGTACATGGGAAGGGAGCACGGTCTGCGGTTGCAGTGCCCGGAATCACCCGCCCAGCCACCTGAGGACCTGTCCTAGGCCTGTTTCTCACTCACCTCCATCTCTTTCAGCTTCAGCTCCTCCATCTGCCGACACAGCGCCTCCGCCTGCAGCTTATCCTCCAGGTGCCTCCGCTCCTCCTCGGCTCTCAGCCGCTCCATTGCTTCCCTCCGAGCTATTTCGTATTCATTTTCATAGCGTCTGTTCTCTTGCTCTTTGGTGGCTTCCTCCTGCAAGAAGCCACATTAACCTGAGAGCCAATACTTGTGACATGCAGCTCCCTGGGTCTTTATAATATAAACGTTATCAAAACAAACTCCAGCAACAATAAATGCCCTTAAAGACACATGTGTCACTTTCCACCCATTAGCCCTGATCACCTGGCCTGCACCTCGTCACTAAGTCAATAATATAAAACAGGAAGAAAATCCAGAGACAAAGACACTCTCAACCACCACACATGTGGCTATTTCCAGAGTCACATACTACACCTGTTTTTTTTCTTCTTTCTGTGTTTCCCAAGAGTTTATCACATGCTTCTTGTGAAGGTCCAACTCAATCTGAGGATAAGAGGGGGACAATATTAATTTCCTCGTTGGCTTATGTGACACATACTACTGCTGGGAACAGTTTTTGGTACCTTCCATGCCACCCGCTGGAACATGATCATGACTTCTGTCTGAGGACTGAGTGGCTTGGTAAGGGCGCATGGGGGGCTCTGACATAGGCTGGATGCTGTCAATTAGAAAACCAAAGGACCAGGGGCTTCTAAACCAAACTCCAGCATTGAAACAAAGTAACAGGAACTCTTGTCAGTGGGGCAGAGGAGGAAGCAAGCACAAACACTGAGTAGAAATACAATTTCAAAAGCCACCTCTGTTGGCCTCAAGTGCCAGACTCCCAGGCTCTGAGAGATAGCTGGATGGGGCAGACCCTGGGAGCCCACCATGAGCATGGTCCCCAAAACTTCCTCTGCAAAGTAATAACTGTTAAAACAGGTGCTCCCTCTATCAAATGATGCAACAAGCAGGTCCAACAAGTCTGGGGTTATCAGAGATATGGGCTTAGAGAATCTTCTGGATTAGAAAAGGAATGTGACACTCTTTCATTTGAAATTATTTATACAGTTTAAATTTTCCCCCCAACACTGTAAACACTGTGATGAACTGAATGTTGTGAATAACTTTTAGTTATTGACTTAGTAGGGTGGTGGGGTCCTAACTCGACAGTATCAATGTGAGGGAAGAACTTCTAGTAGAGGTGACTGCGAGAGTCAGGCCTGAGTTCTCAGAGCAGAGTAAGTCCAGGGGCTGCAAGAGGCTGGGACATCACACTAGATGACAGACAGCCACGGAGAGGAGTCTTCCCACAGGTCAATGCTAACCACACGACACTCAAAAGCGCCCAGAAACTCCATCCCTTAGCAACCGCCAGCTTGTGAAAGTGACTACAAATGAAGTAATAGTGCCAAATGTGCTCAAACCATTAAGTTGAAGTAGATGAATATCACTCACCACTGGGATAAACTTCCTTCAGCCAGTCTCTGCTAAATGATGCCACCAAGCCTGGATGCCACCCTTTCTCCCTGTCACCAGGTCCTGCAGTTTCATCCACCTGTCTCCTGCCATCCCAGTTCAGGCCTTCAGCATCCCCCAGCTGGGCTACGCAACAGCCCCTTCAACGCCCTCCTCTGGGTATGCCCTGGTAAAGCACTCTGGGTATCCCCAGGGCCTCCAGGGGACTGTCGGACTCTGTCTGCCTCACCAGCCTCATCTCTTGGGGACTGCCGCTTCTAGTGTGATGTCCCAGCCTCTTACAGCCCCTGGACTTACTCTGCTCTCAGAACTCAGGCCTGACTCTCGCAGTCACCTCTACTAGAAGTTCTTCCCCCACATTATACTGTCGAGTTAGGACCCCACCACCCTATTAACTCCTCTGGGATGCCTCCTCAACCCCTGAACAGTGGGGCTCCCACAACCACCTGCCCAGTTCCCTGTAGCCTGCACTGAACAAGTTGCCCACTGGCTCCCCCACTGGCCAGCAAGCTCCTTAAGGGCAAGGACCACACCCCAGCAGCAAACCATGAACGTCAATGAACACATAGTAAAACAAACCAATGAACTGCTCATCTGACCAGGTTTCCGACCCGGTGCTCTTTTTAGGAGCTGGAGATTCCCTCCCATTTCAACCCAGAACAAGACGCATGGTAAAAAAAAAAAAAAAAAAATTTTTAATCTGGCTTCATGATTTTATCTACTCAGGTAAATCAGTGGATTACCTCTCGGAGTTTCGGGTTGTTCTTTTTCCAGTGTTCATACAAAAGTTGTTCAGCAATCTGAAAACACAAAAGGGGAAGTCTGATGTCGCTTTTCCAATCCATTCATATTCTGAATGATGCACAATGGAAGTCAGCTCAGGCCAAGATGTCCTCCCGCTTATGAGATGTCACTGCACCCATCATTCAAATCCACCCGACCTGCACCTACAGCACTGGGAGCCAGGCATCCAAACAGAATGGATGGCTCTGACAAGTGACGCTTATGGTGGTGATGAAGGGGGCCAAAATCTGATGCCAGATGGGTTCTTTCTAGGGGGTCCCAAATACACAGCAGGCTATGAGCAGCCTGGGGCTCACCATTCCACAACTGCTTTGGAAGATAAAATACAGCAGTCCCAGACCTTTGTGGAACCACAAAACTGGAATTAGGAAAGAGGAATCAGCTGTCATCTTTTAAGGGGCCAAAGAGAGGAATGCTCCCTGCACAAGAATGGAGGGGGCACTCTTCCAGGCTGGCTCTGGGGGTAACTGGCATCTCATCAGACCAGAGCTCCCAGGAGTGAGTGACCCCATGTCACTACACTGACAGGTGGGGATGCTCCTACTCCTCCACAGCCTCCTAAGGGCTATGACAGTTACCAGTTTCCTCTGTTCTTCTTGGGCAGATTTCAGATTCCCATGCCGCTCCCGGATTCTTCGTTCCCGCAAGTTCATGCTCAGCCTCAGCTCTTCCAGTTCCCTGACCAGCAGGTCCTGTTCCTCCAGCATAAGCTGCCGGAGTCTGTCTCGACGCGCTTCCAGACTCTTCCTCTTCTCCTCCTTCATCTTCTCTCGCTGGTAGGCATGCATGCTGGGTAAGAAGAGGCCCATGAAACATCAATCGTGCTACAGCCCCAGGTGGCATGCTCTACTCCACCGTGGAGAGGAGAGACTGAGGCAAACACAACAATGACACAGGAAGGTGCTCTAAGCCAAGGTGAAGATAGCAGGTCACAGAACAAGATGCATATTTTGTTTTTGCAAAGAGAAAACATAATGGACGTATATACACATGTGATAGTAGTAATAGCTAATTTTTTGAGCAATTACTATGTGCCAGGTAATATACACATGGAAGTTTTACATTATTTATCACTTGAGTCCTTATGAAGTAGGTTTGGTTTGGGCCTCACTTTAATCATCACCAGCCAGGCGTGGAGGAGCACATTTGTAATCCTAGCCAAGTTGAGGCAGGAGGATCTCAAGTTTGAGGCCAGCCTGGGCAACTTAGTAAGACCCTGTCTCAAAATCACTAAATAAAATAACTGATGAGGAAACTGAGGCTTATTCATACAACAATGACACAGCCAGGCTTTCCAAGGTCTGACTCTAAATCTTATGCTTTTAATCTCCATGTTTTTATGATTATTCTATAAAATGGGCTGTGTCTGTGTATGTACTTAAACACAAAAAGGGAAAAATATGGAAGGATATGTACCAGACTGTTGACTATGTTTCTCTCTGGGATGTGGGTAGAATTCCAGATTCTACCATATGTCCACTTCTATATCATTTTATCTTTTCCAGTGCAAATGTATTACCTCAATCCTGATTTTTTTCCCCAATTTCCAGCTTGAAAAATATATCACCACATGGGTCATCCATGCTGTCGGGCAAATCTCAAGAAAACATGCCATCAAACCACACTCCCCTGGCCCTTAAGGTCACATCCCCTGACCAATAAGTGCCACCCCTCACCTCCATCTACTGCACAGTTACCTCCGCAGGTAGGAAGCTTTGGAGCTCCATTCTGCCTGTTTGGAGGTATAGATGTCAGACCTCTGGAAATAATGGCTGTTCTGGTCCCACTGCTGCCGAAGCCGGGCTTCTTGCTCTCTCTGTCGCTGCCGAGTTGCCTGCTGATCCAGAAGCCTTCTACTGCACCAGTAGGAGGGCAGAGTGGGGAGCGCCATCTATGAGGAACAGCAATGGCAGGAAAATGAGCCAACTGCACAGGCTCGGTTCCAACATGCCTTAGCTCTGGTAGAGCCCAGGAAGAGCTAAGCCTGGGTGTAGCACCTGGAAGTATTTCGGGCTACTATGTGGGACCCTGAGGAAAGAGATGCATGGAGGAAATCAAGTTGCCTGGCTACAATGTTGGAGCCTGGAAAGCAAAGGGTAATCTCTGGTCGCCATTCCTCCTGAGCCAAGAGCTGCCTGCCGTGCAGAAGGTGTGCACAGAGCTTGAACGAGAACGTCTGGGAAGCTGTGTACAGACCAGGCATCATCCTCCAGGTGCTAAGGGCACATAATCTTCATCCGTGGGTCCAATGTGGCCTGCTGCTACCCACGTATGACCTGTGCTGAGACGGGGGCAGGTCTAACGCACTCTGTCCTCGGTCCTGTAAAGCCGCCGTGGAGAAGCCTTTGCACCGAGTCACAGCTTCAGATTCCAGACCCCCAGGAAGGGCGGTTTCCCTTAACAAACCACATCCCCCTCTCAGCTTCCAACACCCACATCTAACAAAAGCAGTTACAAAGTGTCACACCCAGCGCCCCAGCAGCAGAGAGAGGACCGGCCCCCAGGCGCCCGGGGCTCGCGTCCCGATTCCCCGCCCGAGTTCCTGCCCGCGCGGCGCCGCCTGCGGAGGGTTCCTGCGGGACCCGAACTACAGCGGGCTCCCCCGGACCAGCCCAGCCTCCCGACTCACGTTCTCCTGTGCCCCAAAGTTTCCGAAGAGTCACCCGGCCCGAGCTCCCACAGGCCCCGACCAGGCCGGGCCAGTTCCGAGGGTTCCCTTCCAGCCCGCGGTGCAGCAATGCCGGCCGTTTTCCGGCTCGTTGCCTGGGTAACGTTCTGGGCAACGGAACGCCACGAGGGCCAAGCCACCTCCGCGCGATCTTGGAGGCGCGAAGAAAAAGAAGACTGTGTTTTTTTTCTTCTGACGCCCCCTTGTGGTGGGCGGGAGATCAGCAACAAACCTCGTTAGTCCACACAAAACCCAGCGGGGTGGTTACGTGGGTGGGATGAAGGTGAAGAAGAGCGTGCGAAATCAAGGCGATACGATAGAAGAGGAGAATATGGCAGCGGTCCTCAAAGTCAGGTATGGTGGTGCACGCTAGTGCACCTCCCAGTGGCCAGAGAGGCTGAGACAGGAGGATCACAAGTTCAAGGCCAGCCTCAGCAGTTAGGTAGATTCCCTTGTCTCAAAATAAAAAATACAGAGGGTTAGGGGTGTAGGGCAGTGGTAGAGCAGCCCTGGATTCAATCCTCAGTACTGAAAAATAGTAAGGTTGACAGGGGCCCCTAAACATGGCTGCACAGGGGGAGCTTCTAAAAGTCCACTTGCCTTTTTTTAAAAAATCCAAATGCCCAGACCAAACGCGAAGCAAATCAGGTTTTCTGAGAGTGTCAGTGTTGTTCCCAGTTCCCCAGGGGTATTCAGTGTGCAGCTGGGATGAAGAACTGCCAACCTAAAAGTTACAAGTTCCTGGTAACTTTCCATGATAGTCTTAGACTGGATCAGGAGCTTTCGTTCTAGTTCATTCTACTCATATACTTCCTATGTTTTATAATTCACATGAGTTATTTTAGGTAGCAGCTATTCCATTAAAAATAATAGAAAGTAGGGCTGGGGGGTGTAGCTCATGTTCAACTTACACCTTGCTACTTGCATGGTCCTGGACAGGTCTCGTCCTCTCTGTCCTCAGTTTCCTTGCTTCTGGAATAGCGTTAACAATTGTGCTGCTTTGTGGGTGGCTCTTGGGAGAGTAAATAAAGATGGAGCACTCACAGGGTCAGACCTAGGGGCCCACAATCAGGAGCCCCCCCATCCCACCTCTCTTTAGTTGATAAGGTTTCCTCAGGAGCTGACCTGCTCTGTGCTCGAGACTCCCCAAGGTGGCCCTGATCCTTGGCCAAGCTCACGGCCATTCTCACCTGTTGTATCCCCAGTGCACGAGGGAGACAGCTGCCTGCTCTGATCAGCGCAGCAAGGAACACAGCGCGTGTCTGTTGCCAGGCCCCGGGGAGCAGGGTAGGGACTTCATGTGAATGGGGTCCGGGGAGACCTGGCTTCACGTCCTGATTTTGGGTCTCTCTCTCTGGGCCTGTTTCCTCATCCACACAGTTGCCTAAAGGACAGGAAAAGCTCCCCGAAGGGAGACTCGAGGGCCCCTACCAGAGGGCGGCCATTCCCAAGCAGCCTGAGCCTGAAGGCCCCAGGTCATGGCCTCTGGGCCTCTTCTGCTGGCTGGCCATCCTCACTGACCACCCCACACAGCCTCAAGATTATACTGATGAAGCCTGAAGCTCATATATCTTGACAAGTACCTTTTCCTTCGTTCCTCGCACACATACTGTGAAATATTTTATTGTACCTATTTGAGCCTCAGCTGAGCCTCAGAGAGGTGCCATTACTTGCCTGAGAAACCCACAGCTGAAAGGTCGCTGAGTCAGGATTTGAACCCAGCTCCTCTGGTTCCAGAGCCTGGGCCCTCTCCATTACCATGTCCCTTCTGTATCCCCAATGTGTGGTGCGTGACGGGCAATAAACATGTGTCAAGAATGGAAAAGTGAGTAGGTCCCCGTCTTTGCACTCTTCCCCCCGCCCTTCTCGAAAATAAAAAAGGAAATGTGATGAAAGCAAGAAAAAAGAACAGGAACGAGCGTATCTTGAAGACCTACCAGGTGCAGGATGCTTTTAGACACATTACCTTGTTTAAGCCTCCCTCCTACATGGGAGGCAGGGGTTCCTGCTCCCCTTTTATAGATGAGAACACTGAGGCACTGAGAGGTGAAGCAGCTCTCTTCAGATCACACAGCATAGACCAAGAAAGCCAAGACTAACACCCAGTCGGCGAAGCTTATGACCCCCCTCTTCAGTCTGTTTTCCCAGGAGTTTCATGAGTTTGTGTCCTGCAACCTGCAACTCTTCAAACTTCAGACTTCAACTTGAAACTCTTAAAAGAGGCCTGCAAATGTGGACCAGCTGGGTGCCATCTAAGGAGGTCAGCAATGTTCAATATTTCATGACCGGCCAATGACTACGGCCCTTAGATGGCTGCAGGAAGCTGCTCTTGGACTTGTGTGTCTGATCATCCAGCAAGGGAGGAGAAAACTGGGGAAGGAGGTAATGACATGACAGTGGCCCTCCATCAGCTGAAATGTGACAGCACGGGAGGCCACACAACAGCCTCGCTTAATTAGCAGGTGGCATTGCCAAGATGTGTTTACCTACAGTGGGTTTTCTCAGCATTTCAACATCCACCACCCAGCTTAACTCTTCACCTTTGGGCTCTGTCCTCTCAGAAGACCGAGAGGCAGACGCAACTGGGCTCAAAGATTGGCCATAGGGCTGCTGGCTTTGTGTTTTGATGATGACAGTATTAACCAGAATCGCGTCCTGATTCCGATAAGTGTAAATAAACAGTGGCTAGGCGCAGGAGTAGGGGTGATTTTCATTTTTATTTCTCTCTGGGTTTTTAGTTTTACAATGCTCACTGTTACTTGTATAATTTTTTTTTTTTTTTTTTTAAGAATGAAAAGATTGGCAAGCTGGGTGTGGTGGCACAGCCTGTGATTCCAGCTGCTCAGGAAGCTGGGGCAGGAGGATCACAAGTTCAAGGCCAGCCTGGGCAACTTAATGAGATCAAGGGGTTGGCAGAGCTGCTGCATCCTTTGCTGAGGGATCCAAGACAAAAGCACCCCCCCCAGCCTTTCCGTACTCCTCGGTGGCTCAGGGTGTGGCCGCTTCATCCTCAAAGGCAGAAAGGGAAGTACCCCCCTGGCTCTTCTTCAGTGGCAGGGCTCGCTTTAAACACTGTGGGAACGCTGCTGTGCTCTCAGGATCCACATACCCACTGGGATCATCCTGGTTTCCCTCCGCAGGTCAAGGACTTCAACATTTGTCACATCTGCACAGTCCCTTTGGCCGTGTAAGGTGGACAGCTTTTGAAGTCACTTATTCCAGCTTCATCGTGGGTCACTTGGGGTCATTGTCTCTCTGATGTAGTTCACCACCTGAATGCTGTTCACCACCCCTGCAGGAGGGTACCTTCTCACCCATCCACATGTACCTGGCACAGGCTCCCCACAGCAGACAAGGCTCCCAGCCCACGGCACTCAACCCCTCCCCACCCCAGCGTGCAGGAAAGCCCGGTGATCTTCAGGTGTGTGCCCAGCACTGCCCAGGTGATGCCTCAACCGGAAATCGGATGAGCTCATCAGAATTTGTTCTAACAGGCTGGCTTCTGTCTGCATAGGAGGAGGGCCACACATGGAATTCCATTCCAGAACCTTCTGTTCGGAGCTTACATGTAACTCCACCTGCCTCCATCTGCTGAAATCTATTTATTGGATAAAATGGCTGATATAATGTAACATTTCTTGATATTCGTATTCTTTTCTGAGGCCAGCTTTTATGGGAAGGAAAGAGTCTCTGATGGGCTCCAAATTGTTTCCTAGCACTGAACTTCAGTTTCCTCATCTGTAAAATGGGGATGACAATATTCATTCATAACAGCTGCTGCAACTCAGTGCCGGGCACAGGAGCTGCACGGGGTCCTGACAGCTGTTGGCATGACACCTGCCTCTAGACTGGCAGTTTTCTGCATGGTGCTTGCCTCAGGCTGAGGATTTAGTTTCCCATCTGCTAAAGAAAGGGGCCTCGAAGTCATTGATTATTTGCTTATCCCTGTTGCTTAGCTAATAGCACTTCCAAGAACCTCCCTGCCCTAGCTGCACCCCAGTCAGGGTCGGGTATCTGCCCTTCTCTACGCATTAGGGTTAGGGTTAGTCTGAGCCAGCTCTAGTGGACCCAGGGCCCCCTTGTGAGTGACAGGGATGGGCATGGGCTTGGAGTGCACTTCCACTCATGATATCAGAGGGGGCATCTGCTGAAGGGATGGCTGCACTGGGTGTTGTCACATCTGCAGGAGACCTGTGGTCCTGCCACACAGCTGCCACTTCACCAGGAGGAAGTCATCCAGCACAGTCGCTTTTTGCAGAGCAGAGAGAGGAGAAAATCCCGTGCTTGAAGTGATGTCAGGGTTGGCCCACCCCAGAGGCCCTCACTCCAGAGCTTGGGATTCCTTTTTATGTGCTAAGATAAAGGGTTGTATTGCTTAATCTTGGGGATGGGGTGCTGGGGATTGAACCCTGGGTCATTTTACCCCTGAGCTACATCCCCAGCCTTTTGTATTTTTTATTTTGAGACAGGGTCTCACTAAGATGCTGAGGCTTGCCTTGAAATTGCAATCCTCCTGCCTCAGGCTCCCCAGTGGCTAGGATTACAGGTGTGTGCCACCATGTCCTACACCTGTTTAAATCATTTTTGAATCACCAGGAAGCATTCCCACAGGTAAACTTTTCTAGAACAGCAATACTCAAAGTGTAATATTTTTTATGGTTTTTCTTGGCTA